AGCTCTGGAATACTCTTTTCCTGTCTGGGGAGTGGAGGTCTGAGCTTCCTTTGCACAAGAAACAAAGCTATGTATCAGCCTGCTCGTCTCTCTCTCTCTCTCTTTTTTTTTTTTGACAATGAAACAAGTACATGTTTTTATTTATATGGATATATACAGCATGTCAAGGAGGCAGCCTTTCAAAAACATGCTATGGAAAAGAGGAAGACTGACAATATGCCTGAATTAACAGAAGCTCTGGATACTGATTAACCCATATGCAAATCCAGTTATCTCCAAAGGATTTGGCAAAGATGTATTTTCTTTTCATTTCCAGATGAAGACAGATTTGCTTACAATACAGCTGATTTTAAAAGCACACAAAATTTAACTACAAACAATGGGATTAAACGCAGCAGAGTGGTGAAGGTGCCAGCAACAAAACTGACAACCCAAGGCGGTGATGGCAGACAATGAGGCTGCACAGTGGGGTTTGTGGATAATTTTAGCTTCACCTGGCTGTTTAATTCACATAGTAAGAGGTCTTTACAGACACACCTGTTTAATTAACTACATTTGTATTTTCTACTATGTAATAGGATTATAAGGCCACAATATTCCTTTGGGACAAACCCTTTAATGATTTTAATATCATTTACTCATTCTTTTGAAGTGTAAAGTGTCTTAACTGGGTTATGATTATAGATCATTTTTAAATACACCATTGCTACTATATTAAAATTATTTATACTATTTATATCTAATATTCAAAGAAAATTTACTAATAAATGCTACAATAGGTATCAGTCTGACCTGCTCATTAATTGATCCCATAGGTATAATTATAGGTCATGATATTAGTCTATTCTGTCTAACTAAATCAGGAACACTGCATTTACAGAACAAATAAACACATGTAGTGAAGACACCCAAGGATCATGCTAGTTCTTCAGTTATCTGTCACAGCTCAGACATGAATCCTCACCGTGTGAACAAAAGTCAGCTCCAGTTCTTCATCAAAAGGTGCTAGTGGACGTTGTCAGACGCCTTCCAATGTAGATCCCCAACCCAATGGCCAGCAGGGGAGACAGCAACAGAGATGGAAGAAAAGCCTTCAGAAAGTCTGCTGAGAAAACGCCTCCCTCCTTCACAACACTTGTGTTTCTCATGCTGAGAGTAGCTGTGCGCTTCGGGTGTTTAAAAAGGAACTCCTTGGGGGGGATATTTTCTGGCCGACTTGACCAATCCCATATCCAATCTGAGTTTTTCTTCAAGATGCTTTCAACTTCTCTTCTTCTCTCAATGTAATCTTCCTCAGACAGAGTGCTGTTTTTCTCTCCAAAGCGTGGGTGTCTATTTCAGCTCTGTTGGTATCTTGTGGTGTCTGGGAGTGAGGTGGGCTGTCATAGTGAGAACTCTTGGGGCTACTTCGTCCAGATTCGTGCTGGGCATCCAGCAGTATTTTTTCCATGTCACCATTATAAACCGAGACGGAGGCTGGAACACTGCTCCCATTCCCATTGCTGAAGTGCAGTTCTACCCAGGAACCCTGCAGGCTCTCCTCCCCGCTCTGCGACATGGTGGCTCGGCAAAAGAGCCCGAGCCCAACTGCGGCAGGGCAGGCCTCGGCGGCGGTCACCTAGAGCTGCGAGGGCCACCCGCAGCCTGCTCAGCTCTCGCCTGCTCGTCTCTTAGACCCTGAAAGGTGTTAGTGACCTAGTGGATCTGCATCTGAGACTCTTACATTGTTTGCCAATATGGTCTAGCAGTATATAGGCCCACAAGAATTTCATAGCAGAAGACAGCTGAAATATTAAAAGCTAAATAACACCAAATATTCCATGATAAATGACTTCCTCTAGAAAAATGCCTTGAAATTTCTAGGTATAGCCTTAATAAACAGCTGAATCTCGATATTATATTCTTGTGGCTCACAAGAAAGGACACTGGCTGCTGTTCTTGCAGGATCCAGGTTTAATTCTAAGCACCCATGGGGTGGCTCACAACTAACTGTCTGTAATCCCAATTCCAAGGGACCTAACTCCCTCTTCTGGCCTCTGTAGGCACCAAGCATAAGGCAGATGTGATACACAGACAAGCATGCAAAACACCCATTCACACGTGATAAAAAAAAAAAAAAGCATGAAGAAAGCCCACTAATGGGCTTATCATAAGGTTTCACCCTAAGCCAGATCATGCTACTGAAGCGTACAAGCACGTGACAGATCACACAAGCAATCTAGTCCTCTTTATGGATCCATCAATGGCATTTAAAAGTTCATTGGTGATCGAATTTCTATTTAAGAGCCACACTGGCTGCTAGGTACAGACTACAGGATGGGAGCAGAGAGCAATTCATGTCCTCTGTAATTGCCCATGGGTGCTGATGCTGAGCTGCCCAGTACTAGAGGATTTGGGGTGCTGAAGAGACACCACATCCTGGATGTGTAGCTGAGAGCATATGCTGATGGACTGGGCTTCTGCAGGAAACCTCTTCAGAACTTTCTTGTGGTTTCTAGAATAATGCTCTCCCATATTGGATACTCTCTATCCTCTTTCCAGATTCTTCCTCATTTCAGCAACATGTACACAGACGTCCCTTCTCTAGCAAGGCAGTGTCAACCAGCCCCAGAGCTCTCAAAATCCACATCTCTGGCTAGCATCACCTTACTACATAGCGTCCGCACCCACAGTGTGTTAGCAGGTATCTCATGCTAAACACAGCCGAGTCTGGGCCGGCCACACTCATCCCCACCCCAGTAATGGCTGCCGCTGCTTGAGCTGTGGAAGGTACAGCTGGTTGAGTCCATATGCTCAGCTGTGGTGCTCTCACCCTATCGGCAAATCCTTTTACCTTGGTAAGGCGTTTTTTGTTTTTTTGGGTTTTTTTTTGCATTAAAATGTACCTGGAGCAGTGGTTCTCAACCTTCCTAATGTTGTGACCCTTTAATACAGTTCCTCGGGTTGTGGTGACCCCAACCTTACAATTTTTTGTTGCTACTTCATAACTCTAATTTTGCTACCTTTACAATGTGGAGACCCACACAGGTTTCCTAGTGAGAACTTACTCAGGGTCGGAGAATCGGGGCTTACTTTACCCAGCAGTGCTGCATAAGGGGATGAGTTGACCACGGGCTGTGTTTACCAGGTGTTTGGAAGGGGCTACACTTGGCTGTGTGGTGTGCTTTGATCTAGCAAGAGGGAGGCCTTTGGCCCCCGCCCCTTGGCATTGTTATAAAAAGCCCTTTTGAACAAACAAAAAAGGCCATGGGGTTTTGACCCAGGTCCTCCCGAAGCCATCCTGTGTTTGTCTGTCTCCTCTTCACTATCTTTCTATCTAATACTTTCTTTTCGGTTTTTCGAGACAGGGTTTCTCTGCGTAGCTTTGCGCCTTTCCTGGAACTCACTCTGTAGACCAGGCTGGCCTTGAACTCAGAGATCTGCCTGCCTCTGCCTCCCAAGTGCTGGGATTAAAGGCGTGCGCCACCACCGCCCGGCTATCTAATATTTTCTTATCCCTCTCTCTCCTCCTAAGAACCCTTGAAGAGGTGGGAGCTGGCCTCTCCCATTACAAATGGTAAACATCTGATATGCAGGATATCTGACATGTCAAAGGGTCACTTGACCCCCAGGTTGAGAACTGCTGCTAGAACCTGGATCTCACTACCTGTGGACTAGCATCTTCCACTTGCAAAACAAAGCAAGACTTGCTACAGTTCTAACTACACAATGAATTACAATTTTCCCCTCTTTGGTTTTCCGAGACAGGGTTTCTCTGTGTAGCTTTGTGCCTTTCCTGGATCTCACTCTGTAGCCCAGGCTACAGATCCACCTGGCTCTGCCTCCCAAGTGCTGGGATTAAAGGTGTATACCACCACCGTCCGGCCACAGATTTTTATTATAAGTGTTTTACTCTGTAGTCCAGGCTGGCCTTGCATTTGTGGCAATTCTCCTGCCTCAGCCTCCTAGTGCTGAAATTACAGGCAGGAGACATCAACTTGATTGCGGACTGAATCTAGGGCATTGCATGTGCTAGGCAAGGAGACTACCATTGACTTAATTCACAGTGAGTGACCAGTTTCAAGATACTTGTATACTGATTACACTGTGCAGGAAGTTCTGGATGGAATTCAACATCTACTTGAGAGGGAAGGGATAGCCTGGACAATCAGACTTCTCAAATGTTCCTCCTTTGTACTGAAGTGAAAGGCTCACAGGACATAGGGTGTAGGCTGCTGGGTTAAACTTGGGGTACAGTTCCACTACTCGCTCTTCTTGCCTGTTTCCTGGGAGCTGGGGAGATTAAAACAGTGACCATGGTGTCTAACCTTGTGTCATACGGAACAAACTGTGCTTCTGTACAAGCTCTGTCTCACAGAGGAAACACCCTCCATACTGAAGGCCAGGCAGACTGTCAGTCCACAGGACATTCGATATCAGGCTGGAGCTGGAGACACGCTCAGTGGTTACAGAACTACAGAACCAGCTGCCCTTCCAGAGGACCCAGGGTAAGCTCCTAGCATTCATACAACAGCTCACAGCTGTCTGTGATTCTAGTTCCACAGGAACCAACACTCTCTTCTGGCTTCCTTGGGTACTAGGAACACAACTTGTGCACATACATATATGCAGGCAAATATTCATACATATAAAAATAAATACACTTCTTTTTTTTTTTTTCTTTTTCAAGACAGGGTTTCTCTGTGTAGCCTTGGTGTCCTGGATCTCGCTCTGTAGACCAGGCTGGCCTCGAACTCACAGAGGTCCGCCTGCCTCTGCCTCTCAAGTGCTGAGATTAAAGGTGTGCGCCACCACCGCACAGCTAATAAATCTTTCTTTTAATAATCAAATTCAATAGAAAAACTGAGAAATCAAATAGAAAAATTAAATGTTGCTATTATGAGCTCAGCACTGCTGGGAGCTCTGTGATGAGGCTGTTTCCTGTGGGTACCTGAGGTCTAGCCTTCTCCAAAAAGCCTTAAGACTAAAGATCCCAAAGTATGAGGATGACTAGTCTGTAATGATGTCATCTGAGGAGGAAAAGGCCTTATTCCTATTTATTTAAAATCATCTCTATTTTATGAACAGTGGCTGACAGGGCAAGTTAGAACATTCAGATCCCATCAAAACATTCATGATAGAACAGCAGTTGTCACTGAGGAGAGCAACATAGTACAGATAACATATTACAATAGAGAGTGCAAGTGCAGCGTGCCCTGAAAACCACTAAGTCTGTCCAAATTGTCCTGCAGACACAAGACATCATCAATAGCAACGATCCATGTGAAGTTCTCAAAACTTCAGCAGCGTGGAGGTTATCTCCTTCCATGGCCTGAGGATTCTGTGGAAGACTCCGATGAACTCTCTGGGGTTAGTACTGCTTCTAGTACTTCAGACCAGAGGTAGGCGATCAGCATCAGAACACACAGTAAAAGGATAAGAAATATAGGGACCACGAGCATCACCACCTTCATGTTTATGTCATCCTCGTCTGACCTCACCTTTCCGCGGTCACCAAATACAAAAATACTCAAGTTCCGATTATCCGGCTTCCCCACAGGCCCGCTGTCCACACTTCCCCCGTTCCCCGGGCTGCTGCAGTTGGGGGGGGCAAACCCATCATCGCAATGACAGTGCCGGAAATTGTTGCACACGCCTTTCCCGTGACACGTTTTCTCTGGTTCACAGTCGTACTGGAGCACCGTGTGCTCAGTGCAGTAGTTATCCATGCAGACTTTGTTTGGGGCACAGTAAGTGCCAGCCTGCACATCTCCAAAATCAGGGATGTCAGTAGTGTTATAGGCATCCATGCTCCAGCACCAATCATCTCCATAAGGAACCTGAAGGAGCGTATGTAGGGGACTGACTTGAGGCAAGTAATTAACATCTGTACAGACTAGTTTCCCACAAAATACATCCTCATCGGAACATGTTTCGTACCCTAAGTTAGCCTCGGTGTGGTAGCCACAGTTTCCAAACCGGTTCCCTTTGGTGTTCATTAAAATGTAACAGTCGTCGGGGGCTGATCTTGCAGGATACCCGTATATCTTTGTGCACTGCTTATCAGGGTTCTTACACCAACCCTCAGAGCAGTAATAGATCCTGTCACACAGTGTACCGTCCTGCTTGTAGCTGTTCACAGGGCATTCATGAGAACTGCCGTCACAGTACTCGGGCAGGTCACACACATCCTCAACAGGACGACACAAGACCCCTTTCTTTCTGAAGTTACATTTGTAGCAGCAGAGTCCATCGCTGCACTGTGCACCGTCCTTCAGTGTACATGTTGGTTCACAGCATGGGTGATAGTCACAAGCAGAACCACAGTCACACTCCTCCGGCTCCTCCACCACACCGTTTCCACAACGGGAAGCTCTGCGCTTGCGGCTTTGGCGCCAAGGCTGGTCAAGCAGGCAGGCCCCTCTGTGGTCATGGAGGAAGCGGTAGAAGTCGTCAGAGCTGCAGTTGCTGAAGCCACTGTCCTTGGTGATATTCTCCTGCATGAGACAGAAGCGCTTAGGGTCACAGCCGCAGGCCGGGTGGTCGTGCTGGATACCCAGGTTGTGTCCCAGCTCATGGGCCATGAGCGCTGCAAACAGCAGGACATCTTCGTGATGGAAGGCCTCCACAGCTGCTGCAAACATGTCTGAACAGGCACCGTCCAGAAACGCCTGGCCCTCATTCTGTCCTGGGTCATGCCCCACGATCAAGTGTGCGACATCGTGCCTGGCCCGGTCCACCAGCTTCTCCTGTCTCCAGCGGTTGAAATTCCTCAGTGTAGCCTGCAGGTCCACGGGGACCTCTATCGGGTCCCCCTCTGTCCAGATTTCCATGCCCACCAGCACCACCTCTGTGTTTAGTGCCCTGGTGAAGCTGTTGGCCAGAGCAATGATGTCCACTACTGCCCGGACCGTCTGGTTGACGTTGCTGCCCCACATCTGGAACCGCTGGTGGTTGACCACAGCAAACATCTCCACATACTTGGTGTGTGACCACACGTCAGACAGCTCCTGCAGGTCATCGGGCTTCCTGCTCCCTTGCTGCTGGCTGCTGTCCCCGGGGCTGTCTTTGGGAGTGACACTGCAGGAGCCCTGAGGCTGATGTGCCACGGTGTACAGGATGTGTTCAAAGCCTTTGGAGGAGGGCACAGGCTCGATGCCGTACGAGGTCTCCTCCTTCATCAGGACGCCCCTGAGGCCTGAACAGATGTTGACGGAAACAAAGGAGCCCGGCACCCCTTCCATGTAGCCTTCGTAGTGGCAGTCCTGTGAGAGGAGCGGCATCTCCTGCCCCAGGATGCCATCGTGGTAACTGTAGACTGGGAAGTTGTTCACGGAGTAGTCTCCCTTTACCTTCAGGTGAAGCAGCTGCTGCTGGCCCTGCATCAGCAGCAGGTAGGACGCCCTTCCTCCGGGGTCTTCAGTCCCCTGGACTGGCAACCTCTTGGGGATGACCGTTTCATAGGAAGAGTAATACACGGATCCCGTGTCACAGAAGGTACTTGGGAGGAAAATTAGTAGCACCAAGATCCCTACTTTGACAGATGGGTGTCCGGGCACTAGTCTCAGCCCCAAGGTCAATTGCTGGGCAGCCCAGATGTGAGATGTTACCTTAGCTTCCTTTACGGGCACTTGCGTTATCTGCAGAGAGGACAGAATGGAGGCAATTCCTCTCACTGATGCCACCGCTGACATGGCCCCAAGAAACTGTTGGTAATGGAGGATCTCTGCCCATCGGTGGCAGACCTCCCTGATAGGCAGGTCTTTCCCTGACTCTGATCTGTGCTCTTCCCTTATGGGGTGCTGTCCATCTCGATGCCTACAGCCTTTGGGCTGCCTCTCTGTTCTTCTCTCCTAGGCCTCAGTGGTTATATACAGCACAGGGACTCCTTTCAAGGGGACGAGCTTTAGTGTTGCTTACGTTCCTTTGACGTTCATGGAGGTGAGCCCTGTAGTCTGCAATGGCTCAGCCAGTTCTGTAAGGCAGATCACCTTTCATCCTCCCCAGACTGTGGACACGACATCTGTTAACCTGTTCATTCTTTCAGGCCCAACATTCTGGCAGGGCTGCGGGGGAGGGGTCAGAGCTTCTCCGGGTTCTCTGAACAATGAAGAGTTCTCTGTTGTCCTGCCTTTCCTCATCCTTACAGTGGTCATGAGGTCTTACTGATGGTTAGTTCTCTTTTATTTATCCGTGACTGCTTTATTCCTTTCATTTGGGCAACAGTATTCGGGTGTTCTACTTTCCTCGTCCTTTGTGTGTACCCCGTGAATTTTGACATTTTAGATCTGCCTCAAACCTGACCCTCCTCAAGGGACTGCTTCTAAGGCATATGCGTTAAATGATCTTTTTTTTTTTTTTAAACCACAGAAATATATTAGAGCCTGGAATCTAAGTTAATCCTCCCAATGGCCTCATCACAAAAAGAAAAGGGTAAAACAGATGGTGACTCTCTTTTCAACAGTGAGCAAAATGAAAAGGCGATCTGGAAGACCCTTCAATTCCACACTTGTCTCTGACTACAGGGGGCTTGTACTGTCTGAGTTTCACGCTAATGTTCTTGGTGTATTTAACACTATGCATTTAGAAGGATACAGAAGTGTGTGTGTGTGTACACATTCCTTCCCCCATTTCTTCATTCTCCTGCATATTCTAAGATGAAAAGAAAACTACATCTTCTCCATGGCATAAAAATCATTGTAAACTGTTAAGTCAAATATTTATAACATACAGGGTATAACTACATATAACATGTGAAAATAGAGAAATACCCTGCTTGTTTTAGGAGGTGGTCGACCCCTGTAATCTCAACCCTTAGGAGGCAGAGACAGGAAGATCACAAGTTCAAGGCCAGCATGCTCTCTGAATGAGTTCTGAGCTAGCCAGGGATACAAACCAAGACCTTGTCTCCAAAAAACAACCCCCCCCCCCAAAAAAAAGGCACCATCCTAGATCTATCAAGAGTAATCCATCAAGATGCCTGCCCTCAGCGATGCCTAGCTCCTATCAGATGGCCTCAGGGTCCGGCAAGAAAAGGCGCACTCTCACCTCTCACTGCTCGCGCTGACTGGAGAACTGACAGGAAAGTGAGTGGGTCCTCGGCTGCACTGCCTGTCTTTCTAGTGACTCAGAACCTCTTCCGAATACCTGTTCTGGCCATGATCCAAGTACTCGACCGCTTCCCTGTGTGAGAGCTACCAAACACAAGAAAGGGCAAGTCACGAGGTGAACCAAGGATCAGTAATGGAAGAACAGTCTTCTTAAATTTAAAAATATGTAATCATAATGAAATATCCAATTTTTCAACTCCCAAATTGAAACGTACATCCTGACATACAAGAGCTGACTAAAATCTTTTGACTTCTTTACCAACGGTACACTCTATTCTTTCAACTTGCTCATTCTCACATGTGTAAAGAGCATAATTCTCGGGGGAACAAAGCAAGCCTTAAGGTGACGTTTCAAAAAAAAATTTTTTTTTCTGCTCGGCGGTGGTGGCGCACACCTTTAATCCCAGCACACGGGAGGCAGAGGCAGCCGGATCTGCCTGCAGATCTGTTAGTTTGAGGCCAGCCTGGGCTACAAAGTGAGTTCCAGGACAGCTTTTGACTGTTAGACAGAGAAACCTTGTCTTGAAACCCCAAAATAAATAAGGAAATGAATCATTTCTGAGAGGCGTTTTCCTGTGGCCACACAGTATGTGAGCCAGAAAGACCCTGCTCTCCAGTGAGCAGATGTAACTGTGGTAAGATCCTCTCCACCTGAGTGACAAGCAATGGTCCTAGTGAGTGGGGTCAGGGATGTAGCAAGCTGGAGATTGTCACTGCCTGACGGGAGCTGTTCTTGTAATATTTCCACAGACCTCAGTGGTCAGCAGGCAATAAATTACCAGAAGATAAGGTTTAACTTCCAGCTAGGCGTAGGTTTTGTATTATTAGCAAAACTGACTCACGTTAAAACATAATTTACCACTGGCCTAGGAATATACAAAGGAAACTCAGCTCTAATGCAGAATCTCTTGGGAACTGCTGTTGTTTGGGAGAATTTTGTCCAGGGTCGGACTGACTTTTGAGTGACAACAGGGGCATCTCCATGGTTTTTACAGACATCCAACATAGTTCTCATCTGGACAAACATAGATATGGATTTCATTATGGCACTAGGTGAATTCAGCCTGAAGCCACTGAAACACAGGCAAGCCATGCTCAGACAAAAGCAACCATCAAGATGTATGTCCTTTCCAGTCCCATCCACAATTCACCACACTGAGGGGGAAAAAACCTCCTAAGCTTTCAGAAGTCGCCCAGATGATAAATTTCTAAGATACTTAGTAGAGTCGGTGTGCCAGCACGTTCCTCTCAAGAGAAGACTAACAACTAACTTCTATCTCCACGGGAACACTGGATTCCTGGACCAGGACAGGTATGCTGGATGTCTTTGGACACTCAGGAGCAAGTAGTCCCCCTGATGATTTGGAACAGGTTCACTGCAGAACATGCCCTTATGCCAACTCTCAGCTACATCTTTCTGGCCAGAAATTTTGCTTAAAATTGTTTGTCTCTGCTGCTTAACCCTGAGATCTTGCTATCCTGGGAAGTATCCCCACTTCTCCCCACAGCACCAGCCATCCAGGAGCAAGGATGTGCCTCCCACTGCAGTCTCCAAGGACACTGCTGCCTTTATCACAGCCCTCGTCAGTGACGTCCTCCCGAACACTGAAGACGCTCAGAAGCTAGAAAATAACAAAACCCCATGGAATCCATTTTGATGGAAGAGGATGAGACAAAACTGAATGACTGAGATGGAGGACTTGTCCTACCTGTGAGCTCTTCTGGGTGCCAGCAAAGGAAATCACCCAAAACAGCTCTAAAACCTACCACGGGGCCTGGGTGGGCCTCTGTACAAAACAGGTAACAAAGCAAAAAGCTGCTTTCTGGGCCATAATTATGCTTCCTGAGATTGAAGGATGCTGAAGGAGCTACACACAGCCAGGAGGAGGTCAACAGATCTAGGCAGAACCACTACTTATGGACAGCCTTAAGAAAAACCACCAAGCCTGACGGGCTCCTTTACCTGCACTAACACACAGTTGTTAATACTTTATTATAAAGAAACTGGTCTTTCTTGACAGTGTCCTCTTACACTACAAGACTCAACTCTCCTATGTGGCTAAGTACAGGAAGCTAGTTTTTTTTTTTTTTTTAAAGGAAAACAGTTAAGTGTTAGGAAACTCTGAACCTAAATCTATATAGCAACATTAAGCAACGAGGAAATGAAATTATGATTTATTAATTTACATAAAAATTACTTTTTACATTAAGGACTAATTTTTCCGATTGTTAAAAACAGTTTGAAGCTTTTACTACTGGGGCTCATGGGGACCGGTCTGCTCTTCGATCACTTGCTTCACAACCTCTGCCAGCTTCAGTCGGTCTACTTTATCTGTGAATCCACGACCTGGAACTCAAGAGAGAACGAGGTCAGTTTCCAACTCTGCACATGGACAGAGCCAGCAGCATACTTCAGTAGCCAGAATTGGCCCACTGTCCAGAAGCAGTTCAGATCCTCCGTTTTCAAGCAGCGACTGAGTAGTTTCACAAGCTACAAAACCAGAGATCACTGATGTACATCCAACAAGGTACTCAGACCCAAGTACATAAAAACTCCTAGAAGCCGGCCCGGGGAATGGTGGCCCACACCTTTAATCCCAGCACTGGGGAGGCAGAGGCAGGTGGATCTCTGTGAGTTTGAGGCCAGCCTGGTCTACAGGGCCTGATTCAGGAAAGGCGCAAAGCTACACAGAGAAACCCTGTCTCAAAAAAACAAAACATAACAAAACAAAAAACAAACAAAAAAAAAACTACCCTCTGAAATGTATATAAGAAAGTTACAACTGGGTAGAAAGACAGACCAAAAATAAAAGCAGGCGAGTCACAAGGAAACCGGTCAGTAGGCATCTAATCATGGTAAGCATGGTCACCAGGCTGATGCCAATCAAACGGCCCCCGTAGTCAGCGACTACAGAATCTGCACGTCTCAAGCAGCAGCAGTCAAGCTGGTGTGTGTGCAGATGCTCAGAGCCTCAGACCTCGGCGAGCATCCTGAACCCATTCAGCTGCTCTCAAAACACGGACAGTGCCTGCTCAGAACAGGCTAATCCAGGCCTAGGAGGTAAGAATTTCACAAGCTGTTCATCAGGACACAGAAAAGTGTTCCCAACAGCCCTTTCCTTGTTTATCAAAACAAACCAACTGTCCACTCAGTGGTGAGTGGACAGACTATCATGAGAACGTAGATGGACCTCACAAATACAATACTGACTAAAAGAAGTCAGAGACAAAGGACTATGGTGATATTTTATTTGTACTGAAATGTGATTTTAATTTTATGTTAATAAATAAAGTTGCCCTGGGGTCAGAGCTATTAGAACCATAGCAAGAGTGTGATGGTTAGAAGAGCTAGGTAGATTTCTGTGTGTTCAGGGATACAGCCTTTAAGACCTGGAGGGCGGTACTTACAGGCAGTGATGAGGCAGTCATGTGGTTGGGTTTACAACCAATGAGAAGGCAGAACAGACAATTTAAACACAGACAAACAGGAAGTAGCTCTCTCTCGGGGAAGCTAGGAGCACTGCAGGAGGTAAGATTTTATCTCTGAGCTCTGACCTCTCGGCTTTCTCTTTTACATTGGCTCTGTGTTTCTTATTTTAATAAGACGATTGGTTACATCTACAAAGGACACAGACCTCTCTGGTTTTGTTTACACAGGATACAGAACTTGGGGCAGGAGCACTGACTCAGTGGTTCAGAGCACTGGCTGTTCTTGCAGAGGGCCCAGGGTGTTTCCAGCACCACATGGTGGCTCACAACCACCTGTAACTGGAGCGCCAGGGACACTGACTTCCCCTTGTGACCTGTGCAGACACTAGCACACATGTGCTAACACAGACATACATGCAAACACTCATACACATGAAATCAAACAAACAACCCCCCCCTGCAGACTACAGAACTACTGTGATGGAGGTGTGGATACACAGCAGTGTTCCCACTCTGAACACTCACAGTACACACACTGTGAGACCCATCACACAGTTCACGTTTTAAAACAAACCCCGTGAAGTGACTGCTCAGGTGTGGGGTGGCCAGGCCCATTCAGGAAACACGCAGGGGACAGAGTCAAAGCACGCGCCCTCTGTTCCCCAGACACTGGAGCGGGTCTCATACAGTCTACTCAGCTGGAGAGAAAATGCCACCCCAGGCTGCGGAGAGCAGAGCAGGGAAAAGGTCCCGCTCCACCTTGTTCTCCTGGGGAAGAAGTTTGCCAAGTGGCCGATCTGGGAACCCTTCTCAGTCAAATGACTTTGGGCTTAACAGGTGGTTCTGGAAAACTTTCTGGTACTCCCCGACTGCATAGTGTTGTTCCTTGATCAACCGGTCAACAGCCCAGGAATGTGGGGCATGAATCTGGTTTGGTTTTGTCTTTGAAATATTTGACAGAGCTCTCCAGTGTTCATTCTGTAACCCACAATGCACTTTGTAGAAAACAGGCGCAAGGAGCAGACAGCAGACATGCCTGGGCAGGTAAAGCGGGGCTGACACGCCTGGGCGGGTAAAGCGGGGCTGACATGCCTGGGCAGGTAAAGCGGGGCTGACATGCCTGGGCGGGTAAAGCAGGGCCTGCCCCCGGAGCCCCTTCTCTTTACACACCCTCCTCCCTGGCTCTGGCCTCAAAGAGCCCGTCTGTGTGTAAGGGACAGGAGCTGTTGCATCTTACCGTTCCAGCTGAAGCTCTGCAGGGCGTCCCTCAGGAGCTTACACTCCCGGTTGTATTTCCAGGCTTCCTGCATTACTTCATTCAGTCTCTCATCTTCATTCTCTCCTATGGGCAAGAAAGGAGAGGAAGTTTCCATTTTTAGGTAGCATCA